AGGTATTATGTGCACTGATAACGGTAGTGAGTTCTGCGATGACGTAGTGGAATCGCTAGTACTCGTATCAGGCATATGCCATAAGAGAGGTGTGTCATATAAGCCGCAAACGCAAGGTACGAATATAACGCGCAATAGAAAACTTCAGTTCTTCTTGCGTACTGCATTAACGGATGATGCAGATGATTGGCCGTACCACCTTAAGTGGGTACAAACACAGATGAACGACTGTGCTGATCAGTTTACAGGAACTACACCCGCTTACTATTATCGTGGCAGATATAGTGGGTTACAAATCTCCTTTAACAAGGACGAGCCTGATCACCATGAGTTACCATTGTTATAGAAGGTACAATGTATTTATAACGTTGTATATCCTTGCTTGCGCGAAATACGCAATATAGCCTTATTGAAAGGGCAAAAGCGTTGGAACACTACCAAAAAGATAGCAGAGTATCAGCTTGGTGACAGAGTTAACATCCGTCAACGTAATTACGATACTACTGTATTAACATCTAAATGTATAGGTCCATATATGATCTCTGTAGTAGACACTAAAGGTGAAACGTACGAGGTAAATAACCCCGATGGTTCTAGAGCGCTTAATATAGGCACAAGTCGTATTCCGAGTACAGAGATTATACTCGCAAGAAGACATGACTCTATTGCCCCTCTTGATCGTACTAAATTTAACGACATTATATGGAGAACGGATAAGGGAAGGCTATACATACTATCGTACACGCTTTATAGATGGTACAATAGATGAGTTGACTTCAGATGCTTTCGATAACCAAGACTATTTAAAAACCTTTAATTGAAAATGGAGTAAAGGCCTGCATAAGTCACAAGCTGAAAAAGATAGCATGTTTCCATCGTCTTAAGGCACGGAAGTTAAAACTTATCCGCCTACAGCATTTATCCCGAGCCTTAATGCTCACCCTTCATATGTGCTTAAGACAACTCCGCCTGAGAAACAGTAAATATACGTTATGCTACTTGATGTTTTAGACCCATTTTCCTTTTTACTTTTTGACCCATAACCAGATTGAGTGAGCAACTTGCTTCTCCTGGGTTTCAAGGCTGCGTGGGTTCTGTATAAATGCCGGGCCTCCACATTAGAATCTTGTAATATAAACGTACTCTTAATAGTACGTAAAACGTTCTCTTAAAAGTACGTAAACTCTTAATTGGGTTTTAACAGTTTTTATTAATTAAATACCTTTTCCATTTTACATATCAGATATTTAGACAAGGCCATTAAAAGGCTTCAGTAAAATACCAAATATAAGAGTTGGTCTAGTTCTATCAATATAACTATATTAACCTTCCAAATCTATTTATATCTGAATACTTCGGTAGCGAGATGGCTCAACCGAACATAGGTTTCTAAGGACTATTAGCGTTGCTTCGTTCAGCCAACCAGGTGTGCCAGTCTGATGAAGGCCAAGTCGGTAATTCTTGATATGTGGCAAGTTATTGGTTAAGGCAATATCTAAGGACACCAAGAGTTTTTTTCTTTTTTTCTTTTTCTTTTTCTAAAGATAGGATTTTATGAGTCTCTCGGATTCGCCCAACGAAACATACCATAGTTTCTATTAGAGCGACAACGAAGCACACTAAATAAAAACCCTTCGGCGAAAACAGTACTGAGAGGATTATATATAGGCAATGTCTCAGCCTCGCAATCCCTCGGAGTATTGCTGTTTTCACGAGGCATACCAACCTAACTTTACGAAAAGACTCATTTCATTTATTTACTTCGTATTTATTTAAATTTAGACTTAACCTAGGCGTTTAATTACTCCAAGGTGTTAATATCGCCTTGATAGACCGAATCTTACAGTAAGGGGTCACACAACAGACGCGCGAGTGCTATCAATGATGCAAATGTGCACAGGACAATCTGACACAATCAAGAAGTTCAAGACAATAGACGAGCTGTCAACAAGACCGAACTTCCCCGGTGACATCACTGGGACCGAACATCTCACTAAGATCACATATGAGAAAATAGTTTCTCACATGATGGAATAACACTAGTGACAATAAGTTCTCACGTGACGGAATAAGCACAAGTGACGTCACACGATAAGCTTGACTATCAAACACCGTATATATCCCTCACAATTACAGGCAACAAAGCAACAAGCTACGGGTCATACCAGGTGCTCATGGGCTCAGGGACTCATGGACGCAGGGGCGTAGGGGCTTAGAGACTCGGGGATTAGGGCTTAGAGACTTGGCTATCTGCCTCGGCTGGCTGGCTGGCTGGCTGGGCGGGCTGGGTTGGCTGGCTGAGCTGGCTGGCTGGCTGGGTTCGAGAGTAGTATAGGTTGGTAGCGCGACAGTAGAGTGACCTGATACGATGTTAGCGTGCGGTACAGGGGACTATAAGTAAAGTGTTAGTGTTTTTAATGTATGGTGCGTTCGAATGAATTAATTTATGATCTCACCCTCAGTTATATACTGATGGTGTTTGTACTCGTGTTCAACCACTTGGGTTGGCCAGGGTAAAGACTCCTATGATCAGTATGAGAAACCTTATGCAGAACACTTTAGCACTCGGAGTTATTTTCCAGAAATAAATATATCATACTATATGTTACTACACTCAGTCTCGAACCTCGGCTCTAGGCTAGCCGGTGGCCCGTATTCTATAAATAGAATAATCTGAGAAGAAGTCCCAAGTTACTCTTACGTTCTCTCGGGCTGACCCACCTATACCTATATTAATTTGAGAACAAGTCCCAAATTACTCTCGGGCTGACGACGTAAGACGTTATTAACGTATATAGAAATACGTCTTCTACTGTAGTCTCTCACTTCCCCTCAATTTTACAATCAAGGGCTAAAGGCTAGAGGATGAAGGCTGAAGGCTGAAGACCTAGATTGTGAAATTGTTGACTCTGACACTTCTGTAGATGGGTTGGGCGAAAAACGTTGAACAAACAGATGAATATTTGTCAAAAACGTTGACGAATTGGAGCTGTTGAGTATAGACTCGATGAAAATTGATGAAAACGTTGACTCGTTAGGACTGTTGACTCGATTAAATTGCCGAAAACGTTGACTTTCTGAAGAGTAGACTATCTCCTGCACAGTGACAGGCTTCATGACAGGGCGTAGATAATCATCTGTACGGGGACAGGCATCACAATGTCGCAGGTAAATTTACTCATGAGATCTTGAAAAAACATTTGCTTTTAGAAGCGGTGTCGAGTGTCGAGTGTCGACTGTGGTGTGGATGCTAGACAGCTCCCTTCTGCGTTGTGGCATAGTAGTGTCGTATTTGTTGTCGTTTGGTCGTTGTCGTAAATTTGCTAGTTATTGAAGCTACGAAGACTTGTGACGAATATCCAAGAAAAAATGGGTTGCAAAATATTTGCAACAGGAGCAAAAAAAAACCCCCAAAAATCACCGAAATTCCAAGTCAAAAATCAACGAAAAATAAATTTCGCGCAAAACAAAATAACCACACAAGCTTATCTCGATTGATGATTGGTCCAGGAGAAGAAAAAAAATTGGTGCTAGGCTGCTCAGCCTGTAGCGGGTCGACGGGACCAAAAATACTCCAGGCGATAAAAATTCAAGATAGAGTAATCGATGCTGTCGAAGCGGAAGAGTCGGAGTCCGGAGACACCGAGAGACAGTGGACTCTCTACAAAGTAGGCTGACTCGGGGCTCAGGGCTGAGGTCTCGGGTCTCGGGTCTCGGGTCTCGGGGCTCAGAGCTCAGGGCTCAGGGCTTAGGGACTCATAGTCAGGGCCTCAAGGCCTCAGGGACTCACGGACTCAGGGGCTCATGGGCTAAGGGACTCTTGGACTCGGGGGCTTAGGGGCTTAGAGACTCGGGGATTAGGGTTATCTGCCTCGGCTGGGCTGGGCTGGGCTGGCTGGCTGGCTGGCTGGCTAGACTGGTTGGCTGGGCTGGGCTGGGCTGGGTTGGCTGGCTAGGCTGGTTGGCTGGCTAGTGCGGTACAGGGGACTATAAGTAAAGTGTTAGGGTATTTAAAGTATGGTGCATTCGAATGAATTAATTTATGATCTCACCCTCAGTTATATACTGATGGTGTTTGTACTATTGTTCAACCACTTGGTTTGGCCAGGGAAAACCTCATATACACGGTAAACACGTACAGCGGAAGTGTAGCAAAGCAACAACACTGTAACAGTAAGTAATTATTTTATATGAATTATTACTAAAGACGGGAGGGAGGGGGGGGGGGGGGCGTACATCAACGGAGACATCTGAAAATGCTAACAGCAACCAGAACAAGCGTGTACGGTGAAGGAGAAGGGAGTGAAGGCGCGGATGACGTGGGAGTCAGTCCAATGGGGGGGGCGGGGGGGGGGGGAAGCCCAGACAATGGTTTGTACTAACCTACACCGGCGGGGGTACCCATTGTAGCGTCAGTAATGCGTCTAGAAACAGACGAGAATACCTGTCAAGGCAATCACGTTTTGGTGAGTTGGTTTGCGTTCAAATTGGAACAAACAGCACCAGTTCCCATACCAACTCTACATAAGATGAGGGTAGACATACATGACCAACAGCCAGAGCGCCGTATGCCACTAGTGGATGCGGAGCTCAGACGACGATATGACCAAGCGATTAATGATTGTGGTAATGATGAGGAAGACAAACTTATCCAAATCAGTCTGTATATTAGTGAGCTATAGATCATGCGCTCACGTCTAGGCAATCAGATAAACAAACCATCTACTAAAATGCTACTATAGACTTCGGAATTTCTTAAGATGCCTAAGGATAGTTTCGTTAGAATGGAAAACTGTGATGATATGATAGAGTGTACTACACAATGTAGTGATCTATTCTTAACTAAGTCAATGCCTCTGTGCCAGTACCCAGCACTAGTGCGAAGTCTATTGGATTTCACCGACGCACCGGAGTAGACCAAATCAGTACTCAATAACTTAAGAAATTCTGAGACACATGCAACCAGGTACTTCACCGATCCTGAACAGTTCAATAGAATTATGATTGATCGACTCAGATCGCAACCAGTAGACTATCTATTGGAGAATTTTCTAAATGACATGCAGAATAAGAAGATGAACGTTGAAGTGCGCACAGAGCGTGTGCACAAGACAATGGCGATATTGAAGGAGCGTTACCGCAACTCGGACAAGAGACCTATACACTTACAAATCCTCAAAGTACAAAGGTACATAGCACTTAGGTACTATGGATTGCAATCAGTTGTAGATACTCTCATTAAAAGTGACAAGCAACCGGATAGGAGGGAAGGACACTTGTCCGACATGGACCACGGCAAGTTTCATACTATGACTGAGACACACATAACAACGGCGGCTGTGACACAAGCAGAGCGTATGTTGAGATATCAGGTGCGAGCAGCAAACAAACGTAACAATGCACAGACTACCACACCGGCGGAGGCGAACACTACCAATGCTAACAAACGGTACAAAACAGACAATGGTGCAAACGACCACCATCCCACATGGGAACAGGCACAGGAGAAGAAAGGGGCACGTGAAGAGCGTGCTTGCCCCTACTGCCTGGTAATGACATCCCCATATCGGTTCAGTAATGTCCCAAGAAGAAAGCGAACCAAGTAAAGCAGGCTGAGCACCAAGCCAAGAAAGATGTGCAGATAGCAAGAATATCCATTACATCTGGCAAGGTGGAAGACATCACAGAAAGTGATGACCCTGAAAACACTGGTGGGCGGAAGCAAACCTAGTTGTCCTGGCTGACAGACTCAATGTATTTACAAATGAAGAAATAATATTAGAGTCATCAGAAATATTAGCGGTAGAACCGATAAGATATACCAGGACTCCCCGGTGTGAGAGAAACACTCAAGTATATCCTGAGTCTAGTGAAGAAAAAAACAAATAGAGACTCAGTTCAGTTCGCTCAGACTAGGGACTTTTCCTAGCTGAGAAAACCGTACCTGAGAAGAGGTCTATTGTATTCCTTTGTCACGTACCTTCCAGCTACTCTCCTTACTTAGACAAGTCAACAAACTTCCTATCACACTAAGGACTCCCCTTAAGAGGTAGAAGAAATGAATTAGAATTTAGTCCTGTCCAGAAGTAATACACCCTTTATTACTAAAAAGGATAACTCAAAGAGAAGCAGTGAGGACCCGAAGAGAAAAATGCTCAACGGTCAACGAGAAGACGACAATACACACTGTGGAGGGCAGAAGAAAGAAGAAGAGAACGAGAGCAGAACTCCTCAAATATCAAAAGGACCTCGGCTCCACGACCCAGGTAAATATATCGTGGTCCAGAAGTAAGCTGGGCACGTGTCAAGGCGTTACAAGTTTGATTGTGAACTGTGAAGGTATCTCAGTGAGTGAAAAAATTAGTAGTGTCACCTTGATTAATTAATCAATGTTGCGGACTTTCAACCAAGAAAATGTACTGACGTCAGGGGCCCTACTCTACAACACGAGATACATCAATAGCAAGGCACAATACAAATGGTGTGAACATACAGAACAAGCTACAAAAGTATAAAATCACACTAGCTGCGAGTTTATTAGCTCTTGCACTTAACTGAGCACCAACGAGTCTCGGGTGATCTAAGGTTAATGGAACCGATTACCAAATTGAAGTGGAATGTTCATTGAACACAGAAATACGCATCGATGTTGGAAAGTAAGATCTAGCTATACACTTAAAACAGTGCATCCTAAATGTTACGCAAGAAATTAGACATCACTAAAAATAACGGTAGTCGCTAACAAGAACAGCGAGCTCAATTCAGATGTTCAAATCACGCTAGACACAAAGAGGTCGAATTAGATACTCAAATGACACATCATTAGTCACATAAAGAATCAGAAGCTTAAGTCACAAATAAGACGTAGAAGCATAAATCGAAGGAGGTGTCTGGCTCATCATAACACGATTGAGACACAGGACACTGAGATTGGGTACGATTGCCATTATGCAACGACTGTGTACAAAATAGTCATTAGAAAAGTAACAAGGGGGCAACAAGGGAGTTCGATCTTGATCATAGGGATAATATTATTTATTTCAAAAAATGGCAAGTATGTATGATACAATGTATGAGCTTATGATATGGCTCTCATAGTCACTGTAGTGGTTCAGGAAAGATTGATGGGAAGAAGTGGTCAGTAAATTCCCGTTTGAAGCTTGGGCCAAGTGAGTCGACAATGGAAGATATGTGTTGAGTCAATTCGGGCCGGTGTTGACAAAACACTGTTACTATCGAATGTTCCATATATTCGCTTGCTGGCCTA